AAATGGAAATGAGACACTAAAATTTTCCTTTGTAGATTTTTTTGTTATTGCATTTTGGCATTGTGGAAAGAGCTTAAATTTTAGAGACAATCAATCAGACTCTGCGTGCTTGGTTTACTTTCATTTCAATATATGTTGCATTATCAAATCAATCTCTGTTAGAAATCATGCTGAGACTACTCTAGTCATTGTAGGTTTTTACCTGATGTATTCCACTATTTCTGGTTTTGGGAAATGTTAGAGTACTCTACAGAGAAAATTTTTTTATGCTTCTAAAGTTTTACTGTTTCTACTCAGTATTTTGAAACCTGTAAAAGCCTCAAATCAGTGCTGTGTATCATGGATGCTCTTATGCTTTCCAAGCTATCGATTTACACATCACTGTTGGTGGCCTTTAGCAAGTACAGTTTGCAGAATTTTTGTCAGACAGGAGGGTATAAGAACCAGTTTGACCTTGCTTTCAGCTTGTTCAGCAGGAGACGTTTTTATCTGTAAGTGTTGCAAAAGATTTAGAGAAACAGAACCCTACAGTGATACTTTCATAGCCGTTTTACAGCATACAAAGACACAGCAGTAATGGTAATCTCTGATGGGAAATGCTGAGGGATCACCTAACAGATAAGAGACATTTTTCCCTATTCCCACTTTTTATTTTTCCTACTTTTTCCTTTTTTCTTTTTTTGACATGCTGTGACATGTCATAGACACAGATTAACTCAGCAAATGTATGGATTCGAGCTAGCCAGATTTTTTAAAATTTCCTGGTTTTCCTGAACAATGTGGCTCCAAACTGCACAGAAAGTACACAGCTCAAAGAAAATTATTTTCATTTTGTGCTTGGCAGCCTGTCAGCTTCTCCTGTTGTTCTCCCATCCTGTATTAAAAATCTATTTCTATTAACACGATGATTTGGGTTCTAAATAAAGAAATGCAAAATTTCCCAAAGAAATATTTGTATCTGTACAGCTTTAGCAGGAAGTGTAGAAAAGAGCAGGGTTTTCTTTTGCACTTAGAAGCATGGGAAGGCCACTTGTTGCTTGCTTTAGTAGAAGGTTGAATTCAAAGACCTTTCTATTAAATTCTTTTTGCTTTAATGATAGCAGGAAATTTTTGAAGGGAGAGATGATCCTTTAAGGCCCTAGTGGGCCTGGAAACATAACCACAGACAGGGTTGTCTGCTTAGCCAGGGAGACCGGATAGGACTTCAGAGGCCATGGCAGTACTCTGATCTGGCTGCTGTGATTTGTTAGAGTAACAGGCAATTAACTCTTTCTTCAGCACTGTTGAAACAGAGTAAATTCAGAGGTGATTCGGTTCTGGTGCTATGGGAACTTACAGTTGGAACACACAAAAAAAGACCCCCATGGAGTCATCAATGACAGTTTTCTGGACCCACTGGTTTAGTGTGCAGCAGCATCCAAAGAGAGCCAAGGGCACAGGAGGGCATCCTCAGCTTGCATTTTTTTGATTGCTCTTCTTTCAGATTAAAAAATATAGTCACATTTCCATATTCTTTTTTCTCTTTACTTTCTAAGAAGAGACAAGAATGATCAGGTGAGATACGAAATCTTTAAAATGAAGCAGTAAATATGTGACCAACACTTCAAGACTAGAGGCAAGGGCTAGTAGAGGATAGCGCAAATAAAGATGGAGAAAAACATGTGAATTTTCAAGAAACCTCACTAGTTTATCATACAAAGATTTATGAAAAAATGGAGCCTGTTTTCTTTTTTACTGGGCTTTTAGCTCAGTTGGCCTGTCTTCAAATTCCCTAGTGAAAACAAAGCTACTGGATATGCTGTGGCTGGAGTTAATGTTCCATGTCACAGGAGCACCTGTAGCTGACTTCCAAAAATCACATGCATGGAAGCTGATTAACTGAGTCAGTCTCAAGTGAATAAAACCAAAAAAAGATAATCATTGCTGGACTGGTAAACAGATGGCTTCAGAACTGGAAGTTCTAACCTTTTCAGAGACCATTATATAAGATCAGTAAATGTCTGCCGTATTGGAAGTTGGAGACCTCCATCCTCTTACTGGTACAGGCTTTGGTAAAGAGAACTCCAGGGAGTGGTAGAGTAGGGATACTCTACAGCCTTATTCCAAGCTCTACTGAAATAGGCTTCATGGCTTCAGGTAGCATCAGGCTGCTGAACCTGCAGTTCTTCCTGAGAGGAGGGTTGCTGTGTGTAACATCTCTTTGTTTTACAAGGAATGCTTCGTGCACTGTGGAGCTTTTGCAAGCAGAGTGGAATAAAATTTAGAGTAGAATCTCTTGATGGATTTGGCTGGAGAAATTTAACTGCTTCTGTTTAACTGTATTCCTTTAATTACATTCTCTGATTTCAAAAAGGTTTTCTTATCTTGTTATGTCAACAACTAGAAAATAAATCACTACAGGTAAAAGAATGAAAAGCAAAATGAAAAACTAGGTTCTTCTCAGTTAACAAATATCTTAATGCAGATCTCTGACCATATTTTCCACTTCATTTTTATCAAGGTAAAATTTTCTAAAACAGTTAAGCTTTTTGTACTGTACTGGGAACTGAAAAAAAAATAACATTTTTCTATTCCTGTTTTTATGCATTCTTTTCAAAAGCAAAGTCAAAAGAGTTCTTCTATGAGAGGTAAATAAATCACTGCATGACAATTATCAGCACATACTTCAGTTTTATTTTTGCAAATTCAGCCCAGCCTTTTACACCTTGTACAGAAACCTGTAAAAAACTCTAAAAGATGGAGAGTAGGACAGTCCCTCACAGAGTTGTCTGCTTGGAAAGTGCTGTTTGTTACTATTATAGCACTCAGCATTTTCTTGGGAAAGAATGATGGTCCAAATTCCACCAAATCCTGGTAATATACCAAGTTGGTACAATTCCTAGTTTATATACAGAAGTAACATGCCAGATCATATGAGAAGCCCAGACTTTTAGGTTTTTCTGTCTGGCATTTTCCCAGCATTAAACAGAGATTATCTGCCTACTGCTTTAAAGACAGTAGAAATAAAACCAAAGAACACCACATACCAAAACCACCCCAACCCTCAAAAGCCCCAAACCAAACACCACCATTCATGCCCTTCTCGCCATTTAGCTATTGATTAGTTGTTAGGAGTTTACGTTTTGCTGGAAAGTACAAAATCAGTAGGGGATGAGCAAAGCTGCAAACTTGAGAAGTCAGCTTGAACACAGTCTCACATATGCACTCAATCCCATGGTCTTAACAAAAAGCTTTGGGTTTGTCCTGAGCATAGAGGAGAAGAGGCATGTTAGCCATGAATGGGGATGCCAGTTCAGAGAAAATCCAGCTCTGGAATCTTGTTGGTCTGGAGCTGTTTCTGAAGCTTCATGGCTGCAAGGTGCTTCTGAAGGGACTGGCACAGGGCGAGGGCACTGCACACAACCTCAGGTTTATCTAGCTTTTTTCACGAAAGCAACCTTGCTGGCTGAAGTCATCTCCATCACTTACGCTTGCATTCCATTTCCTACAGGAAGGAAAAGATCAGAGCAACCAGAGGAAAAGAGTACAAGGCAAAAATGAGACAAAAGATAGAGGCTGAAGAACAACACGAGGAAATGCAGGGAATGGGAGCCATACACCAGTTACGGAGTGTTGCGAACTAGGGTTAGGAAATGAGAAATGCCTTTTCCACTGCCATGTCAGAAAGGCAAGGACACAAGCCTTCTGGAGAGCATACATCAAAATGTAAAAGAATTAAAACCATGTTTCAGAGGATCTGTGAAAAATATCAGTGAATTGTCACTTTAGCTGTTACATTAGCTGTCTTTCCCTCTTGCCAGGACAGAGGAAAAGATTTAATCAGTCAGTCCATGGTATTTAGTAATGCAAGCCAATATGTTTTAGGTTATAGCCCTATACTGACTGTCTGTCCTCAGCTACCCTGCACACTCATGTGAGCACTACACTACAGCAGATTCAGTCCTTCAGAATTTGTACTCGAGTCCTGTTTCCTTAAATGCAGCAAGTAAAAGCCATTAAGAGATATTTTTTCTGTTTAAATATTCCTTTGATAGGAAACTGTGTTTGGACAGTTTTTAGCATGGTGCTTACCTCCTACCCCTAATTACAGTACTTAGGACATTATTTTTTAGTATCTCAGTAATTAGAAATATTTTCAATTTTGTATCATTCTTGAAATCTTTGAAAAGGATGGTGAAAAACGATGAATTGCACACAGCAGGTAAATCACTGCAGGAGGTAGACAATAAAAAAAAAGTAGGGATGGAGGGGTTTGAAATTAGGATTGAAATTGTCTTCTGATTGTGCTTTATATGTGAAGAAAGACATTCTTTATGATGAAGATGGTGAAACACTGGAACAGGCTGCCCAGAAACATTCAAGGTCAGGCTGGATGGGGGTCTGAGCACCCTTATCCAGTTGAAGATGTCCCTGCTCATTGCAGGGGGAGGTTGCACTGGATGGCCTTTAAAGGTCCCTTTCAACCCAAACTATTCAATGATTCGATCCACGTGTCTCTCCTAGTCTGTTTAGTGACCCCTTTCCCTTCTTGTATTACTTATTTTCCTAGATTTGAAACAAAATACTGTCTATGTGTTAGACCTTTCATGGCTGTACCAAATGAACATTGTCAGCGAAAAAAACAAGGCCCAAACTTTTGCCCAGGTCCTGCTCTATGCCTTTACAGTGCCAGCTGGAGATAATTTAAGCAACAGAACCCTGTTATTGCACTTCTGCAAAGGAACAGTGTGAACAGGAGACTGACGTGGGAGGGGCTCTGAGATCCCAACACAAACAAGCCCAGTCTACTTTACAACACAGAGCACAGCACAGTCAGGTTCTAATCTCAGTGTTTCTGGAACATAGTGCAGTAAAACAACAAAAAAACCCCCACCAGAATGCACAATCTGCCACCACCTCATCTTGCCTCTTATCAGCTTGTTTGCAGGGGAAGAGGAAAGTGTACTAAACTTTTTGTCATTTTTTTCCCCCCTCTCCTACCCCCACTTCTTTTCTCACAGCACACTACAAGTGAAAGTCTCGGAGCCGCAGAATTCAATAGACATGAACACAGAAAATGAACATTTGAAGTCCATAAAGATGTGCCTTAATCAGCCCACTGAGTGGAATCTGAGTTTTTCAGCAGCATCTCTCGCCAGCTGTAAAGTTTTTAACCAAAATCTCAAAACTGATGAGAACAAATAGATTGCAGCTGTTCTTGCACTATTATTTTGTACATTGTTTCTGATTTTTTTTTCTGCAAAATAATAAGCATTTATTACATTGATCTTGAAATGATCTTGTGTGATTTGGCTTTATATACTACTAGCATTATTCAGTTTGATGTACTTTTTCTTTTTTTAAATACAAAGTTTCACATCTGACCATCATGAAATTCTTGCAGTACAAATTTATATCAGAATCGGATGTTCCCCTTTAATAGTATTGTGATTTTTCTATGTTCTTTAAAGTTAATTATTTCCCAATTTTATTTTTGTGCACGAAAGTTAATATATTATGTAATTTGTGGCATAGGTCACCATGTAAAGATTTATGGTATTAATTCAAACAAATCTGTAACAAGTGGAGACCGACTACCTCGAAGCAAAGCAGTACAAAGGTAAATTATCTGAGGAGATCTCCGTTACCAATGGATTGAAATGTATGGAAGCACCAGTTTGTTTCTGCAGTAGGCTTTCATCTTCACTTACCTTGAGAACTTCTGTGTGACAGTGTTTAATGACCGTGATGTCTAAAAGACCAAGCCTGGTGGAGAATCTCATGAGATTGTCATTCAACAAATCTGTATCTGCACTTTTTGAGGTTTCTGCTAAATGGTCTTTCTTCCCCATTCGTTTTTATGAATTCATGCCTGCCACCAATTAAAATGGATGTAAATGCTCTTCCTATTTCATTTTTTCTGTGTACTTTGGAAATGCAATGTAAAATCAAAGTTTTAAACTCTACTCAAAGAAGTAGTAAATGGTTGTAGCTGACTACATTGTAGACATTCCATGCTTAGATGATCTTTAGCAAGGTTCATGTACTTCATTCATCAAAACTTTATTATTAATAGAGCTATAACAAAAGTGTTAGAATAAAACCATATGATATATTTCTCTTTTCTGGAGTCATACATTCAATAGCTAGAGTAGAGGTTTCTTAATTCAACTTCGTAATAAGTTCTCTGTCCTTTGCTTGCCAAGAACAAATCTTCCAGAAGGAAATTTCCTTGGAAGACACTATATTTTATAAAACAAAGGTTTTAAGGATTCACCTGAAAGTGAAGATGCAGCTCCTCTTTACAGAGGTTTCTTGGTTTGCAGGTACAATCCAGTAACTGAAATAAAAAGATTGTTACGAATTCTGGTAAGTCTCCCAAAGATCCTAACGGGATATCGAGGCACTGAAGTATCACACAGTGCAGAACATAATTAAAAGAATAAACATTCATCATCACACTGCACCGTCTAGCGGGTCTTTACGTATCTCAGCTATTTAACACGTGTGGATTCTATGCGGCAAGAAAGCCAAAAGGGGAATTAAACTTCCAGGGGAGAGGCACTGACTCAGTGCAGCCCCACCAAAGCACAAGGAACAGTAAGGAGTGAGGAGGGACATCAGAGCCAATGCAGCCGGTATCTTATTCATGTGCCCACAGGAGGAGATGCCATGTGGATTTTCTCATTTCAAAGACCCAGTAAATACCAGAACTTTTCTGTTTTGGACATGTCTCCCTCAGCTCCAAGCAGCAGCCCGGTTTTGTTAACTATCAGCAATTATTATTATTTGAATCACATTGACTTTTAATTGGCTGATGACACAAAAGTGGTCAGAGGGGAGTCGGTTCAGGCACAACCCAAGCTCCCCAGGCACTGCTGGAAGTCAGACAAAAAACACCACCACTAGAAAAACAAACGTTCTTGGTGCAGCCCTTACCCTTCAGCTTGGGAGAGTGACCAGCCAAAGGCCTTTTCTCAAGAGAAAGTGTTTTAGGGTGTAGTCTGAAGAGACAATCACAAAACTGGTTTTAAGAAACAGAAACCAGTGTGGGAATAAACAGGGGATCGCTTTAAGTTTGACAAGTGACCACGACTATTTTATCATTAATAGGGAATCAGGTCTAGGTCTAGTGTGGCCATGTTTCACACTCTGTTGTGTTTAGTCAGCAAAAAGAGAGAAGTCACACTGTAATTGGTCCAGAGCAACAAAGAGGTTGTTTTTAAACCAATTAGAATATTTTAGGGATTAAAATTTTACTCTTTAATTAAGCAGCCAGGAAGTTAGGTACTCAACCCATAGAATTAAAGTAAATAACATTATTTTAGTAAAAGGAGTAATGCATATGAAGTCAAGATTTTTTTCACTGCAAGTAGTAAGATACTTCCAGACTTGGGTCCTTGTCACCTTTGGATGTACTTTTGCTACCATGTGACTTTCTCAGAAAGTCAGCTGCATGCATTTAAACTGTGATTATCAGTTATTGTGAGCTTTGAAGAAGACAGCAAACATCTGATCATCCCATCCTGCAATTATGCAGCTACCCTCTCCTCAGTAAGTGAAGTAATTTTGCAAGAGCACACCACATTTTCCATTGCACAGAAATCCCTTCCCTTTACAGGGAGCTGGGCAAGTGAATCACCCAGAGGGGCTGGAAATTCAGTGCCAGTTGCTGGTCAGGTTTCCAACCTGAAAGGATCACAGGGTAATTCAGGCATAAAAGGACATCACAAAGATCCTGCTAAAAAGGCAGACAGTTGTGATGACTTCATTCAGTCATGTCTTAAACTAGGACAGAGCCTACATGGCCTTTCCAGGCAACCTGTTCCAGCAGTTCTCAACCTGTTTCACTGCCTTTTTCACCTTATATTCTGGTCAGAGTTTCAGTCTATACCCATTGTTTTTTATCCTCCCACCATATGCAACAAAGAGCCCAGTTCCATCTCTTCATCAGACTCCTTGCAAGTAACTGAGGATCCTCCCAGAGTGAACAAACCCAGGTCCCTCAGCCTCTCCCCACAGGGCAGGCACTACAGCCCCACAACACCAGCCCAGGTGTTTGCTGTTTGCCAAAGGCAAACTCTGTTTCCTATTAACACACAGCAGTGAAGCCACATCCACAGCACCTATAGATAATGCAGGCACCAGTTGCTGAAAGTGTATTAGTGGCTGAAGAGCAAACCACTCAAGAGAAGGAGGATGAGAGAGAACTTGTAACTGAAAAAAAACAAAACAAACAAAAACCCCAAAACAAGCAAACAAAAAACCAACCAACAACACTTGAAAGCCCCAGGGAAGCTCTGATTGACAATCAACTGAGAAAAACTGAACTATATACTTTGCCCATTTGAATTATGTTCAGGCAGCATTCAAGGGGAGAGAGCATCTCTGATCTCAAGTGCCTGCATGTACACAAACACCCTACAACACAATTTGGGGATTTGAAAAGAATTATCAAAAGAGGGAGTTCAGGGCCTCAAAATTCTGTTTAAAATTACAAATATAAATAATTTCTCACAGTTACAGAAGCTTCTGAATAGCAAATGTCAGCAGAAAAGCATGTTGTGGCATTTTGCAGGTTGACAAGTTTCCAACAAAATCTGCAAAGGAGGAAAAGCAACACAATCCTGTCTGTTTCCTATAAGCAAGCTTGGAAATAACATAATAGTTTGGGCATTACACTTTGGGAATGCTACTTTTCACTTGTGTTCCTAAGTAATTTTTGAGAATTACCAAAGATCTTTTATAGTATATTTACCTATTTCAAATGCAAGTTCCACAGAAAGCTGCATTTGGCATCAATAGTTGAGATGCACCTGTCAAGCAATCAACATTAAGATTTCTCCCACTGCCTCTGAAATTATCCGTAATGGAACACAGACAGACATGACCGTCCAAGTGTTTCCATCTCCAGAGTGAATCTGCTCAGCCACCAGCGACTACTACGTGCAGTGTAATCTTCTGTTGTCCTGTAAAACTCTCGACCATTCCTAGATATGTCATTAGAAAAAGATTTTGAACTGCAAAGCTACAAAGAACCCATAATTGGATGCTACTTTAAAAAGACAGAACATGGACCTTAAGAGTATTTCATTTTTTACACCTCTCTGTACTTAAATATTCCTTTCCTTACTGGATCTTATTTGTACAACAAATGTTTTTACGCTTTTCTAAAAGTACATCACTGATTTTATATAACAAGGTGAAGATCAGTAGGAGACTTCCAGAGTTCAGTTTATAAAATCAGTTACTCAGTTTTACCACTTTTACATTTTTCAATAAAGTGGACACATATCTGCAGGAAGCAGAATTCACAACTAAGATCAACTCTATCTTACATTAACATGAACAGTAAATATGTGCATCTGCTGACCAGGTTTTATTGTTATAAAACCTTATAAAAATTAAGAAAGTGGGTGCCACAGAGGTACGTACATTCAAAATTGCTGCCATCACAAGCAACCACTACAGGTCAAACCCTCTGCTAATGTTAAACACCAAAACAGCTTTAACTATTGAGTACTTAGCACCAACAGCAATTTTATCTGCAGATAAGAAGCAGCATTCTCTTTACAGTAAAAGAAAAAAACCTCCAAGTTTTGTTCAGGTAATACTTTATTATGTTTTTAATACATGAATGAGGGCCTTACTGGGAAAATAATAAAAAGCATTGTTTAAAAAAAAACTAATCTAGAAATCTAAACGGACTTCATATTGGGAAAATAATAAAAAGCATTGTTTAAAAAAAACTAATCTAGAAATCTAGAGGGACTTCATATTGGGAAAATAATAAAAAGCATTGTTTAAAAAAAACTAATCTAGAAATCTAGAATTATCAAAGGAGTTAAATATGACTAACAAGAAAAAAAAAAATCTCATTTTTCAAGTCTGATGTTAACTACCAGCATTGGCAAAGGGCACTTTCTTTCCTTTTGTCTTCAATTCTCCACTTCCTCATTCAAAAGTCTTGAAAGATTCATTCTGGTTTTTTCAAGTGCCAATGTTTTTGCTCGTCTTGGAGGCCTTGAACTTGACACTGGGACTGATTCTGGAACTTCATCACAACTGAAATGCAGAATATTTAAAAGTAAGGCCAAAAAGACTAACCAAACTCAAGAGTTTTTATATTAACAAACTTGAAACATGGTCTTAAAGAACAAAAAAACTTCTTACCAATTTTAAACTTTTTATTTTTTGAAAAGAATATATTGTTTTCCAGGTGATATAGCAGTTGCAAAATAAGCATAACTCCCAAAAATTAGGTGAAATCAAAATAAATACACCAATTAGGCAAAAGGGAGTGGACTGACCCTGGTGACCCTGAAGTCCATGGATTACTTGCTTGAGAAAGAGTGAGCACAGCTAAAAATTACAGAGATAATGTTGTTTTAATTCTCATAACCTATGAGATCACACAAGAAGAAATCCATTGTCTATATTCACTTCTCAGAAGTTTATCAACACATGTGGGGAAAAAAGCAACAAAACTGTGGAGAGGGAAAAAGAAATAAAATTTACTCCTCCACAGATTAAAAAAGCAGAAAAAGTGATTGGAAGAAGAGCAATAATGTAAACCAAAAATCTAACGTCAGCTAGAATATATGTTGACTTTACACCCCAAAGGTATGCTACAAAAAGGCTACAGGCTCTTTGACAAAACCTGCCACTGTTTCAAAAGTACTAGTTCAAAGAAATTTTTTTTTCTAAAATATTTATCTGTGTTTTAGGAACAGAGGATATCAAAGGTAAAAGTCTGGGAAAGAAAAGCATTTGAATTAAATTTCCTTGCTGGAAGGAACATCATGGTGTTGATGGTGAAGAGTCAAGGACCTACCTTTCAGTACCACGTTTTACACTTGTGCCAGCTTTTCTTCTGCTCACAGACCTCCCTTCTGCTGCTGCTTTGCGCTGTCCTAAGTATAAGCAAAAGTCTCTTTTCATATCATGATACCATTTGTTTTCTTAAGTTAGTTTTGTATCTTTCTTCAGTGTTTGATATTGCATTGAAACACAGAAATATGCAGCCAGCACAGACAGAATGTGATTACAACACAAAAGCAACAATAAAAACCCCACAATTTACCACTTCTCCCAGAAACAACTGTTTGTTACTGTCAATGGCTGTGACCAGGTTCTCTGGAAATCCTGTAGTCAGTCTTTCCTTCTTTTTTTTTTTTAAATCTGTGTTACTGGGAGAGGCTGACAGCACAAAAATTTCCACAGACTACTTTAATCTTTTAACAAATAAAACTGTAAAAACTACAACAGAGTATGAATGGCTTTTATATCAATACATTCATAAAAAGCATGAAATTTTTTTATTAAAAGCAACTAATATTGTTGCCCATGTACCTTTGCCAGTTTTGTTTCTTGTGGATTTTAATTTTGTCGTTTCTTTAACTTCATTAACTGGAGTATGAAGAGCATCTGTGTTATTTTCTGTTAAAGAGAATAGCACAAACAGAAGTCATAAAAGTTGATTATCTTAAGTACTAGTATTTTAAATTTTGGCTGTTATATAAAAAAGCCACACAATCTAACCCCACTTTTTCTTTAAACCAGAAACTAGATATTAAGGCATGCACTCCCACTTTTCTGGGAGAAGAGGCCAACCCCCACCTTGCCTTTCAGGGAGCTGTAGAGAGCAATAAGGTCCCCCCTGAGCCTCCTCCTGGCTGAACAATCCCAGCTCCCTCAGCCACTCCTCATAGGACTTATGTTCCAGACTCTTTGAAAATTTGAAATCCCACAGATTTGAAGCGGTAAATGCTGCTTAGTTTTTAATGATCCCAAATGTATTGAGGGAGGGGGTGGGAGAAGGAAAGGGAACAATGCTTTTCTCCTAGAGTCTGCTTTTAAAAAGTGCTCAAAAATTCTTTTGCATAACAATTTCACACCAAAAAGGATTGTCAGATGTTAGCCAAAAACATTGCAACTATTTGCTCAAAGCATACTTCCAACTTCCCATCCAAGAAGTATTTGAAGATATAAACATAGAAGATAAAAGAAATTAAACTATTTGGCACTTCTGGAAAAAAAACAGATTAATGCCTTTAAATAACCCGCTAAAAATATAAATCATTAACAGAATGTAAAAGAGCACATGATCTGCTTCAAACAACTGCCTGTCAATACTTTTGCTTTGCTTCTGCAAGCAAACTTAGTAAGTTTCATCCAACTGCTTTTCTGCTGAATAAAATATTCTCCTTTGTGAGCCCCCAGCACACCGTACGCTGCTGAGGCACGTGCAGCTGCGCACGCTCTGCTGGCAGCGCAGAGTCTCCCAGCTACTTCCACTTCAAACTCTTAAATAACAATAGAAGGAAATGTGGCTCCCACAGATGAGTTGGCAACAAGGACAGACTGGAGTGAACACTGAAGGTATCAGCTCTGTCCTGCTGTAACACAGCCTGCAAGAACTACGGGCATGATTCTTATACTCCAAAGTATAAGAACCCCATCCAGCACTTCTTTCTTCCTCCAAGTTAGCGACTCTCGTTCTAAAGATGAGTTAGTCAGCATCAGTATTTCGCAGGCACAGGAGTGTGCCAGGCATTTAAAACAAACCAAAACATCTTAATACTGTTTTTGGTAAAAGAAAGAGCTGCAGGGCAGAGCTTAGGATGCAGAATACAGCACTATTCATACCAGAGTAATATGACAGAATTTGGCCAAAAAGCACTACAAAATGTAAAATATTTCAGTACAAATATTTTAAACTGCCTGCATATTTATTACTACATGTTACCTTTTCCTGTTTTTTCCAAAAAGTAGATTAATTTAATAAAGGAAAACTAAAACTCATTTTCATAACATCCAAACCATTCACTGAACTGTACACCTGCTACTGTACTACATGTCTTCCGAATTACCTTCTTCATTGTGAACACTATTTTCAGGCAATGGGATGTCAGTGTCCTGTGTCCTTCCAGAGAGACCTGTTTCCTCAGTTTGTCTAGAGTGGTTTTTGCCCACATTAGGATCCTTGGTCAAGTTCATCTTGATCTTCTCAATAGTTTTTTGACACAGTTTATCTTCCACTTTCTGGAGAAAATACATTCAATGTTAAATGCTACTTAATTTTACAACTATTTATTTTATCCATTAAATTTACCTACTAACAGGATTATTTAAATTTACTGCAGAAAGGATACAATGTGTGACATGAAAATGATCAGTCAAGCTGAAAGTAGAAACACTTTCTCCATCAACATCAGGCACTGAAATCCCACATTTTTAAATTTTTAATAATTTTTTTAAAGGAAACCTGAAAAACATTAAAGCAACTGGACCTGAAGTATAGTTACCTCTGGATGATATACCCATAGTGGATTTGGCATTCTTTTCAACATTTCGATATACCATGGTGTTCATCTGTCATACTCCCAAATGTTAATTTTTTTCCATATTAATAAAAGCACCGAAGTAAAAATTCTTGTAATCAATCCCTTCCCACTTCATCTTAAATCGAGCACCCTTTTCATGTTGGCTAATGATCTTCCAATTACATCATAAGTTTAGGTGTAAAATTTCAGCTCTTAATAATTAACTAGAGAAAAGCCATCCAAACTGCAAAAGACTTAATATTGAATTTTATTTTAACTTAAAAAAATTAACTACATCACAAAGATCTCACTGTACCACAATATATCAAATTGGGCACACTGTTGCACCCTGGTTATACTGTCTACAGTTTATGCAGTGATATCAGCTTATTTTGTAAATTACTCAAAAATTAATTTTCAAAGCCTGGTTAAAAGAGAAATTCCAGTCACATCATCATAGTAAACAAAAGGCACTTCATTTGTAAGTGTATCAGAATATTAGATTGCTAATGAATAAAAAGGTAAGAACCACGTTATTTATGTACTACCTCTAGAATCTCATTGAGCAACACCAGAAGATTCTCTGTGGAAGAATTACTGAGTTCTAGTGAACTTAAAGCTTTTGCATAAATACGGACATCTGGTGCAGTTGGGTCCGTCAGGATTTCATTGCAAATCTTCATGGCTAAACTATCATGCACTGTTAACTCCTGTAAAGGAAAGAAATTAGATATCAGACATTTTGCTGGGAACTATTTACAAGAGACAGCAGTGAGAACATTCCGATTTAAGCTGTTAATGCTCTTATTTTACAAAGTAAACATCTTCCTAAAATGCAGTATTTTTAGTATGTACACCAAATGATTTTTATAAATACTTTTCCCAGTATAGACAATTAGCCATGGTGCAAGGTCCTAGTAGCATTTTTTAATTGTAAGAGGGAGGGCAGGCTGGGGGGGAAGGAAGTGGGAGGGAAAGTGTCAAGCTATAAGATTTCATTACCTCATTTAATCCAACTGCTGGGAGTCTCAGAGGCCCAGACAGGTAGCAGTAAGCAAGAGGGAGGGGCAGTTCTTAATCTCTAGACACAAATACTATTTTCCTACAGTTTAACACACTGTACCTGGTAGTCCTGAGACTTTTTAGACTGAAGTTTCAGTCCACTTGGTCTTGTCAGGTCCACTAACAGCTCAGAAACATTAGTGATATCTACTTCAGACAAAGGTGACGTTGCAGGAGCATTTAACAGTGTTTGCAGAGTTGGAAGATAAGCTTCTTCAAAGCATTCTTGGTTAGACCTGTTTCAGTGGTGTCAAATATTAGTAGCATAACAAGACAAAACTGTTTTCTCTTCCAGGATGAAAGTTCTCCGACCCATTGCAACACATCAGTCAAAGCAAAGTGGGAGCAGCCAACCTTAGTAGCAACAGCCAGCAAGATCAAGATATCAAAACTTGCTTCACAGAACCGATTAAAGTTTTAGCACATGGTTTTTCAAGCAAGTTTTAAGTAACACTTCCTGCCTCTGAAGAGTTTGAACATTCAAACTTACGACTGAAAACCTAACTGATATGTCTGATATATACAGACATATTTGCTCTTAAGGACAAGAGAATACATTTACATAAATACATTTCTCTCAGGTGTTTTTTTTTGATTAATCTTGTCTTCTGCTCATTCCTCCTTCCTGCTAGCCTTTTTCTTTGTGGGTACTTTTCATTGTGTAAGAAAGCAAGGAAGCCTGGCAAAAAAAAAAATGCAGTGGCTAACAAGATTTTTGGAAGAAATACTCATGCTTTTTTCTCAGAAAAGTTCATCATTCCTGCTAAGCAAGCCTAAAAAAAACATGCTGCACTCGGTTCTGCAGCAAGTTGTCTGAAAGTGTAGTTTCACAACATTTTTCAAAACAATTTGAAAGACAAGGTGTTGCAAAGTACAGGGTACTAACTGAAGTGAAGCCTTTGCTGTTTCTGATATTTATTAACTTTTGCATCTCCAACAACTCCCATTTGAACTACACTCCTTAATGTAGCAATGTATTGGCCACAAAAATTTAATTCAATTTGGCTGGAAAAATAGATAAGGTAACATATAATAGAAGTAAATTAAATATTAACCATAAAAACAACCAGATAAATACTCAGTTCTTTCTAACTCACTCAAACCACTGCCAGCAAATGTTAAACAATTTAACAAAATTTAACAAAAAGTTAAACAACCTTTTCATTCAGCAGGTGAAAGGAGATGAGAGTTGCTGTTTACATAAGCTCTCTACCTCCTCTGTCCACTACCAAAATAAACAGGAGATTTTCAATCTGCTGTGAATTTAAATTGGAGTATTCTTTGGTTCAAAAACAAAACAAAAACAAACCCCAAGCCACAGCCCACCAGCCTGCTTCTTTGATATCTGCTGGGCACTGATTATTTTCTTTTGAAGCATTCCTGCTAGCTACTTTTTAGTGACACTTCAAAGCCTACCTGTAGTGCTCAACAGCATAAATAAGTAAAGCACATCTTTTTAAATTAATATTTTATTCAGTATCTTGGAGAACAGTTTCAATTATAGGCTTAGGAAAGAAAAAAAAAGTGGAAGGCCACAGGGGTAAAAGGGAATTAATGGAAAGGCGTCAGAATAGTCACAGGTTGAGATTATGTACTTTCAAAAGCAATAGGCATAGGAGGCTGAATTAAACCTTTAGGTCTGACTTGCATTTCTGCAATTTCTACTTGTGCAAGACCAAAAAAGGTTCCTAAAGCTGCTAGATCGATGTATATTGTCCCATAACAAATTACAAAGACCATTACCTGTCTGCATACGCAAATAAAGGGAAGAATACTCCTAGACAGTGTCGAAGCCGAGTATCCTCTTCAGTCACGGGGTTGTACCACAACAGAACAAGGCGAGAAAGGAGCTTGGCACTGATCAGCCTCCCAGAG